TGGAGCTTGAACCCAGGGCCCCTCACACATGCCAGGCAAGCCTCTACCATGGGCCTCAACTCCAGCATCTTACTTTACTTTATTTAATTTTATCCATTGGGCCTTACTGTGTCACCCAGGCTGACGCAGAAAGGGCTGTTGGTTTGGAACCGAAGTCACTGGATCTCTGTGGGAGGGAGAGGAGCTGGGGATCCTGGACTTGAGGAGGGAGGGTGGAGGAGGCCCACCTGGACCTGCTCCCACGTGTACAGAGACAGATGCAGAAGAGGAGATCCACTTCACTGTGGGGGAGTCTCCGCAGGGGGCGCAGGAGTCTGGGGCTCTCAGTGTGGGAGGGGCTGGAGGGTGGGACAGAGGGTGAGCTGAGCGCTCTTCTTGCATCTCCTGGGCGGAGGCGGAAGCACCTGCCTCAGAGACACCAGGCAAGAAAGAAAGGGGAGAAGGTGGCGGGCAGCGGAGGAGGAGTTCACAGAAGAAGACGCTTTGACGCTGCCTATTCTGTCCCAGGTTTTAATTTTTCAAAATTTTCAGATTGGGATTTTGTCCTTTTTTTTTTTTTTTTGGATTTTATCCTTAAAAAAAATCTGTTTTATTCTTAAATACATCATGAATACTCCAAACCACATGAGGTTTGTTTGGCTTAATACATTTCCAGGCAGATCCTCGCAGTTGCTCCCCCAGGAGAGCAGAGCCCTCTCCAGCCTCCCAGAGCCCTCTGCTGCTCCCAGACGAGCCTCCAGGCCCCAGTCCAGCCGCGGGCTCCAGGCTCCTGTGCTCGATCCTCAGGGCCCTCTCAGCCCTGGAGCCTGGTGCCTGTCTCTAATCTGTGGGACCCCCCTCTGTGTACCTGATTTTTTTTTTGCTTATGTACTTTTTGTGCTAAACTGGAACCAGTCGTCTGTAAACACATTTATTATGTCAAGAGTAAAATGCTGAATCGATCAACAATGGAGAAAGCTATTTTTAACTTTATGAAGACAAACCATTATTAAGAACTTTGCATCGTTGGGTGGGGAAATCCACTGTCACTAATACAAATGTTAAGAGAGTGTCTTTGCTGGGAAGATGTTTATAGGGATCCTGTTTGCCTGGACGTCAGCTGTCTTGGGTCCTGGCCACCATGGCTGCTCCTGGGTGTCCCTGGCCCTGTTCCCCTGCCCGGTGTCCAGCCCAGTGCAGATCCCCAGGACCACCAGAGAGCTGTGCGGGCTGCCAGCTGGGCCGTGGGCCTGGTGTCTTCGATGTACAAGCCAAGCACGTTCCAGCCTGGATCAAAGCCAGCTTTGTCCACTCTGGGAGTCCCGTCCATCCCTCTGACCCAGGGCGAAGGGATCTACAAGGTTTGCTGCTGCCTTAGCCCAACTTCTGCCGGTAAGTCCCCAGTCGATCTCACTCGGCTTCCCCTTCCGCCCGCCTCCTCCTGGGGTCTCAGTGCCTGTGTCTCTGGTAGCTTGTGCTTTTACTCTGGATTTTCCCAGAACAATATCATACATGGTTTGAGCTTGTAAAATTTAAATAACAATAAGAGGCCGCATAATAGAGATTTGATGATATTACAAGCCTCATCTTTGTAGAGCTTTTATTGCTTAGAGAAGTATCATTTAAAGCTTGAAAAACTAGCATCCCTTAAATGAAATAAAATCCTTTTAAGAACTCTTGTCTTTTTTTGTGTGTGTGTGGTTTAATTCCATTTAGGCCGTGGATCCTTCACGTAAAAGCTCTATTTGAGAATTCTCAATGTCTCGGTAGGAGTATGTCAGAAATAAGATTTCAACTTTGTGACATCCAAATTGACAAGAGGAAAAAAAGTTCGAAATCAAGTAGAGGAGCCAGGACCAAATATTCTTGGACCAGATAACAACCAGGAGGAGGAAGAGCAAGAAGGAAGGCACCGTTAATGATAATCGTGTTTTGCTCGTTATCTAAACCACAAAATGTCAGAAGAATGTGTTAGGAAAGAAATTCCTCATGGTTTTACATCTCTGGGGGCTAAAAGGTGAACAGTTAAACACTAGAAATGATCCCTAGGGACTGCCACGGTCGTCACAAGTCGCAGAGGAAGGCTGCGGTATCTCCCTGAGCCACTAACCTGAAGGACAGAGACCCTTCTAGAGAGTTCTATCTGAGCAATGTCCTACTGAGCACAGACAGATCAGGGACACTATCCGATGGGCTGGTGGGATAGGAGGGTTGAGCAGCTTGCCAAAGCCACAGGGCTGGGAGGTGGCAGAGCTAAGGTCTGAACCCAGACGGGCAGCTGCAGCTAGACAATAAGCTCTTCTGGGGTGTGGCTCCTCCTGCCACCCCAGGGATGGGGGCCCGAACTTACCCTTCTCACAGAACCCAAACTTTCCACGAGGCTCCCGTATGGTTATTTAGTTCAAAAATATTTTATTGTTTAACATATAAATATCATCTTCATAAAAGATAATGAGGAAATTAAATGAGACGATTTGCACAGGGCCACCCTGTCAGCCATGCTGGGGGGTGGTCACCCCAGGCCTGTGTGGCTCTGGGACTCTGACCTGCTCTGTCATCGGCAGCCCCCTGAAGCAGAAGGAGGAGACCCCCCTGGAGCCAGGACCTGAAGCACATGCTGAGTTTGCAGAGTCTGAACGGTGTGGAAATCTTCCCCACGCAAGGGACAACATTCGCAAAGTCACTGACGCCTAAAATAAAAAAAAAAAATAAAATAAAAAGAAAAGAAAGAAAAAGAAAGAAAAAGAAAAGGAAAACCCTGGTACTTGGAGTCCCCTGTTCTGAGAATTTGGGTGACGCTTCCTCTTCCTGCTCCTCCTTTCCTCACCCCTGTGGCACAGATAAAGAGGCAGCCCGAGCTCTCCGCTGCCTGGAGGCTCCCCAAGGAGGCTGGCCTGTCCCCCTCACGGAGGTAGGGCCTGGGTCCCAGGGCAGGGCTGAGGGGGGAGTCCAGGAGGGAGGGACAGGGAGCTGGGGGTGTCAAGTGGCGGCTTGCTTTGGGGACTTGGGGAGGACTGGGATCAAGCCCCTCAGGCAGGTTGGAGGGGAGAGCGTGGGAATCAGTTCCCTGCTCTGTCCCTTGCTTTGCCACAGGGGTGCTGTGCTGAAGGTGTGGGACGGTGGGAATGCTTCCCTCCCCGGGGGCTTCTGCCTCCCCTTCTTTACGCCGGGCACATTGGAGAGGATCATCTCTGCGACCCAGCTCTGCCCCCAAGGTGTGCGAGTGTGTGTGTGTGTGTGCACGCTCGTGGGCAAGGGGCCTCACTGGTGGGGGGAGAAGATGGCAGAGGAGGGAACTCGACTCCAGTCAGGTTCGGACTTGGCCTGGGGAGGGCGATTTCGGAGCTGCCCTTGTGCAGAGGTGTATGAGGACATGGACCCCCCAGGGTGGCAGACTGTCCTTTATCCTTGTTCAATTCACCGGTTTTAATAGCTTTTTAAAAATAGTTCACTTAAGATTTTCTGTCTACGTGAGTAGCATCCTGAATGAAGACGGTTCACAACGGAATCCGTCCGTCTGTACGGCCCACGGCCAGGTGTGCTGGTCGGTTAAGCTGCTGACAGATGCCACGGAAGACGTAGGGCGCGTGGAGAGAGGCCCCTGGGAACAGTCATGGCGACGGGCTGGGCAGTGCACCTCGGTCGCACGCGTGCCTCCATGCATTGCCAAAGGACATGCCTCGGTTCCCTCGTGACCCTTTCCAGTGGCGGCTAGATGAGCCCCTCCCTCTGCACAGTGCTCCGATCTGTGCCAGGCACCGCAAGGTGAGGGTTGTAGCTTGGGCTACAGAACCAGCCTCAGCTTAGCGGCCTTTGCCCCATGGTGTCCCAGCATCCCAAGGACCTGGCACGCATGCAAGAAAGCAGCTTTCTATAGACGGCACTAATCTGCCCCAGTTCCCAGGATACACCAGGGACAGCCAGGACCACCGGAGGGAACACGTATCTGGGCCTTCTGACCCAGGCTCCTCTCACTGTGCCTCAACTTGACTCGGCTGTTGAGAACCGCGAGGACAGGGTGTTTTCCTGTCCTCCTTTTCTCCAAGGGTGACACACCCACCTGCCATGTGCCTGAATGCCCTTACAATCTCATTGCACCCATCTTCCAGCTTTTGTGGCGTCCCTAAGGTGGCACATGGGGATGTAGGTCGTAGCCAAATCCCATCACTGTACAAAGAGCCTCCAACTACAGCGAGCAGAGCTGGGAGAGCAAGCCGGCCGGGAGGGGCCTGGAACCCAGCAGAAGCGGGATCAGGGATGTTCACTTATGGTGGATATGGGTCTGTGACTTGGGGCCAAGGACTCCTCATGACCATGGTCAGGGTGCATGCACAACCCTGTTTTCCTGAGGGCCCAGGCTGCAGTCCCCACCCTGGTGCCACTCTGCTCTGAAGCTCCCCTTTTGCCTCTGGATTCTTCTTTGAGGGACGCTGAGAGTATGGGGGCGCAGCCTGGAGCCCCACATCGAGGCTGCTGCTCTGCAGAGCTTCTCTCACTCCCAGCAGGTAGGGTCGCAGGTGACCCGGGAAGCACGTGGGCTGTTCCCTAAGCCACTCCAATTATAAGGCACGTGTGGCCATCTACCGGTGCCACATGCCCATCTCTATCTCCGCGGGGTCGCCCGGGAATGTGTCCGCCCGTGCCCTTTGGCTTTGCGGTATCTGTGCGCCACCCAGCACAGCGCACCTTGGCATAGCTCGGCCACGTTCATTTGCCCCCATACCGACAGGAAGGCATGTTGGTGTCCTTAAAAGAAAGTAAGTCTCAGTCCAGGTCCGAAGGGCAGTTGGTCAGCAGCGACTGTGAGCAGCGACCGTGCTCCGTCTTGCCGTGCCTGTCCATTGCAGCTGGACGGCTGGTTGTAGAGGCCACAGAGACCAGCAGGGGGCGACAGAGGAAGCGCATTGCCGGCCCCGCGGCTGGTTGGTTCTGCGTTTCTGCCAGGGTCGCGGGTTCTGGGACAGAGGAGCTCTAAGGGTGGAATGCAAGAGGCTTTAAGGAGAGGGAATCTTGATTGGTCAACAATAACCAAGCGACCTGATGAGACCAGGGAAGAAGATGCCAGCCTGGGCCCACCCCAGGTTCACAGGACCGTGCCCCGTTTGTCCCTGTGGTCTCTGCAGGGGGGTGGTTACAGACCGCAGTGAAGTGACTTCTCTAGTGACGGACACTAGCCCTGGGTGAGTCATTCTATTAGAAGGAAGAGGTGACCCTGCACCTCTAGGCTCTAGTTCCATGCCTCCTTCTAGCCCCTTCCCCAGGGACCCGGGACCACACCATCGAGGCCTTATTTGCTCTTCCTGTGGCCAGCAGGCTCTCTGGGCCCCCGTGGCCGGTCCTGCATCAACAGTGACAGCCGTTCACCCAGGGTTCTCGTTTGTGGAGTGAGGGGTCTTCTCTAAGCCCCGTGGCTTAGATCCGGATGGCACCATCAGGTCCTCATGTTGATGTCTGGCAGGCAGTGGGCCGTGTGCTGTGGCCATGTCCATTTGATGGACATCACGGTCACTTGGTCCACCTTGCCAAGGACCCGCCCATTGTTCTGGGGGCACCCACCCATGCACTCAATGAGTCCTGTTGCGCTTGGGTCATAAGATCAGAGGAAAGGACAGCACGCGTCCAAATTTTGGGCCCATTCCTGTACCATCTGACCAGTAGTAGAGCATGTCTCCTTGTCATCGTCCTCGTCAGCAGGGTGCCACACGTGGTGCAAAGCATTTCAAAGCCAGGCGTGGTGGCCTTCTGTGGGGCTTTCCACAGCCCACGCCTGCCGTGGTCCTCTGTCTGCCCTCCGATGCGCACGAGGTGCAGTGAGGTCACCTTTGCCCAGCCACCTTTTTACAGCTGCCCGCCTGCTATGTGGGGATTGGAACAAGGGTCAGTACGAGCACCGTGTCGGAGCCATTACAAGGAGCCCTGCTTCTTCGCTGGGGACTGGAGAGCTTTCCTTCCCTGTGGCCCGTGTCCCTCGGCACATTCTCCAGCCCCAACCTCAGCTAGTGTACAAGTGCCTGGCAGAGACACAGGGTCAGTTGCTGCCCCATGTCACTGTGGTGATTGTTTCTGAATGTCTTCCTGTATCTTGTTCCCTTTCATCCCTGTGACCAAATCCCCAGGCAACTCTTGCTGTTCTGTTGCCCCTGGCCTCAGACCCACCAGGGCAGCTGGAGACGTCAGCTTGTAGGATCGCCCTTGGGCCACTGTGCCCACGGCTCCGGCTCGTAACTTCTTCACAGCTGTTTGAGAAAAGCCCTTGAGCTCAGGTCCCAGGCCCCTGCACCCCCTTCCTTTTACTCACTAAATGGCAGAGGGTCTTAACGTCTGCTTTAACAATCCTGCAGCTACTGGGAAATGGTCAGGGTAGGGGCGCTTGGACTCCGTAAAAGTGCCTGGTACTGGGCTGGGCCCAGGTAGAGCACTTGCCTGGCTTGTGGGAGGCACGGGGTTCGATTCTCAGCACCACATAAAAATCAATGAATAAATAAACAAATGTCCATCAACAATTTAAAAAACAAAACAAAACAAGAAATGGCTGCTACCATTCAGTGGTACCGTTCCCACCCCGACAGCCCCCGAGGACTTCACAGAGAACCCCGGTTCTTGCAATTTGGGGTGTGAATGGCCGATCCTCTCTCTTGGTGTGGTTTATTCAGCTGGGCGAGGGCAGGGCACATGGAGACTTGCAGAAAGCAGGGGGCAGGTTTGCTAGATGTAGAGAAAGAAGGGGAGGGATGGGGAGGCCTGACGGAGGGTGAGACATGATCTCTCTCCACCTAGAAGCCCTGGGGCCAATCTCCCCTTCCGCCCACCCTTTCTCCCTCCTTCCCTTAACTTTTTTAAGAGCCTCGTGGGATGTCAGTTTGCATCATGGTTTCCTGAGCAGGTGTGTGGCCGTGTGCATGGGTGTGCATGGGTGTGCATAGGTGTGCATAGGTGTGCATGGGTGTGCATAGGTGTGCATGGGTGTGCATGCTTGTGTGCTTTGTGGGTTTCAAAAATTGGGGGGAAGAGAAGATAAGACACTTGACTCTGAAGATACCACCAAGGACAGCAGGGAAACAGGAGCCGCCTCAGCTCCTGCAGCACCCAGGGAACAGGCAGTGCCAGGCTGGGGCCGGGGATGAGGGACACTGGGCACTGCATGCTGGGAGAGGGGTGGCCCAGA